GGGCTTGGGCAGCACTGGGTTGGGATGTTTTCTTGATGTGCACTTACCCTTTCTATAAACCTCTCTCTTATACAAATAAGTTTCTGTGGATTTGTTTCTCTAATGTACCCAGACTCACACAGAGTGGGACCAGGCGCTGTTTTATTGTTGTACAGAAGGTCTGACTTGACAGGCAGCACCTAACAATGACAAAACTTAACAAAACATTCCAATAAGATAGAGATCTATTTTTTCCTTTTAATGTAAATCAGGAAAATGAAGCTGATACCTTAAAGAGCATTTTTCACAGCATAGAGTGGGGCTAGGGTAACTGCCTCCAGAGTTAAGACCGGATTTAGCCTCTTTTCCCAGTAAGGGTACCCCCAGTTCATTGAGGAGGCATTCCAGAAGCAGCAACACAATTCCCAGTTCTCCTGAGAATTTCAGCCCCAATCAGCCTCACATCAGTAGATAACATTCATGATAAGACTGATGCAAAGATAGTCATTAAGAGACAGACAAACCTTTTAATTTCCCATCGAAGTTTGGATTGGTAGCTACTTTCAAGCCAGGATGAGGTAGCAGGAAACAGGAAATCTTGGTAAAGCAGGAATGGATGTGTTTTCGAACATTCTGTAGTTCTTCATGCTGATTCCCTGAGACCTGCAGTCAATCATTCTGAAGCTGAAACTACTTTCAACATAAATTAAACCCCAGAGGAATTCTGTGGCATCTTTTATTGATGTCCTCACTCGGGACCCACAATGATAGAGATGGATGACAGGTCTGCCACTGAAGAAAGAATAAAGTCTTGGGCAAATTTGCTCACATAGCCATATCGCAAAATGCACTAATTAAAACTAACAAATGTCTACTCTGAAAACTAACTTAGATAGGCCTTCTTGTTTTTCGTATAAATTAGAGGGGTTTACTCTGGCTAGGCCCTGTACATTCTAATCTTTCATTCAAAGTACACGCAGAAGACACAAATGGCTCTTTATTCCTGCCTACTTCTCAGGAGAGAAGCCAGCCAGTCTCTTGTCACCTAGTACACATCTAAATTGTCAAAAGGCATCTGAATAGCTGAGAGCTCCGTTCTAAGCTAAATTGTTCTTTAAAAATACAGTAGAACCCCGGTACTCGACCACATCAGTATCGACATAATCAGATTTCGATGTGAAGTGTCCAGAAAATTTTGCATCAGAGCTCAAAGAAAACATCGGAATCTGACCGGACACACGTGATTTTTATAAACAAAAGCAGTTCATGTTTCGGTCACTCTGCGTTAGCTGGTGTTGTTAACATGTGTTGTTTAAACACTGTGTTCCAAGCATTTTACTACAATTAGTTTTCTGGCTTTTTGTACTGTTTTTAGATAAAAAACAGGGGTCCTAAGAAAGGGTTTTTT